CCTGTTTACTTTTAAAAATTCAGGTACTGTATATAATCTCCAGTCTTTTTAACACATATACATATATGTTACACACGAAGAAACAGAAATTCTATCTCTTGCTTAGCTTGTAAATAGTAGCACTGAATTCAGGCTTGTTTTGTGTGTCTAGAGTAGCTTGCAAATGCATGTCGTTTTTCACAGTCTTATAGCCATCCTTAGGTCCCCTGCCTCCCTCATTGCCCTGTATGTAACTCCTTTTTATGGAAAAGCTTTTTAAAACATAGTTTTGCTGTGTATGCCTCCAGCCTTAACCTCTTAGTGCTTCAGGTTACAATACAAGCATGCAGCACCACATCTAACCTCACAGGAAAGCCTGGTGTTGATTGGAGATAGAGAGCTTCTCTGCAGACCAGGCTGGCCTTGAACTCATGGAGGTTTGCCTGCCTCTGCCTCTCAAGTGCTGGGATCAGAGGAGTACGCCACGACACTCAGCTAATAAAGCTCTTTAAAGAGTTTGTTTAATATTCATAGACTCTTCTTACCTTTTATTTCTTAACCCATTCTAATCTAACTTCCACTTCACTATCCTGTCCTCCAGAGAATCCCGCCTGATAGGTGAACATGGCTGCACATGTACTTTTGGGCACATGCATGTACATGTGAGATCGATTATTTGAGGAGTTAGCTCATGAGTTCATGCATGTGGCAAGTCTTAAGTTTGAACCTGGCAGGCTGTAAACTCAAGCAAGACTATTGTGTTACAGACTCAAGGTAGACTCTCTATCAACTGGTTGAACAGGACCTGCCCAAATTTTAAAAGCTATAATCTTCTTTATCTAAAGTCAGTCACTATTTGTTTGTTTGTTTGTTGTGTACCTGCCTGTATGCCATGTCCTCAGAGGCCAGAAGAGGGTGTTGTGTCCTGGGTCTGCTGACACTAGAGTTACAGGTGGTTGTGAGCCACTTGACCTGAGGGATGGGAACTGAATTTCAGTTCTAAAAAATAAGTGATCTTAACCACTAGCCATCTATCTCTCTAGCCCTTGTTTTTCTTTTAAGATAAAGTCTTATGTCAGGCATGGTGGCGCACACCTTTAATCCCAGCACCGGGGAGGCAGAGTCAGGTGGATGTCTGAATTCAAGGCCAGCCTGGTCTACAGAGTGAGTTCCAGGGGCTGTTGCACAGAGAAACCCTGTCTTGAGAAAGAGTGGGGTGGGAGGATGTTCCTTGTACATTAGGCTGGCCTGGAATTCATCATGTTATCCATCTGGCTCAGGCACATGCTGATCTTTCCTTAGCCTTCTGAGTGCTAGGATTGCAGGCATGCCTAGCCACAGCAACTTTTAGACTAGTGTTTGATCAAGCAGCTAGGTACTACAGCCTGGCCTATTAGCCATGTTAACACTAGCCATGTTAACACATAAAGTTACCATCCTGTTATTCTGCTGTGTCTTCATTGCTCAATCCAGTGGGCTTCTAACATCCGTCTTCACTTGATCGTTGCATCACATTTGACACGGCCTCTTTGGAAACCCTTCTCCTTCCGTTTTAATGATTGTCACCTCCCATTGTTCTGTCCCGTGACCATATTCCTTTTCTGATGTTTCAAGGAATTGTTTATTTCCTCCCGACTCTTTAATTATTGATGGTCTGTGTCGTTACCCTTCTATTATCTCCCAATCTAGAATTCTATCTTAAGGATTTTCTGTTGGTGCTGGAGAGGTAGCTCAGCATAAGAACACTGGCTGCTCTTCCAGAGGTCCTGAGTTCAATTCCTAACATCCACATGGCAGCTCACTTGTGTCTATAACTGTTGTCTCATGGGATCCAGTGCCCTTTCCTAGTGTACAGATGTACACACAGATAAAACACCATTTACATAAAATAAATAACTCTTTTAAGAAATTATCTTTTTACCAAGTGTGGTGGCATACTCCTTTAATGCAAGCACTTGGGAGGCAGAGACAGGAGGATCTCTGTGAGTTCGAGTACAGCCAGGTCTGTGTAGGCTGTCTTCCCCCATCCCCACCTCCCCCCTAAAAGGAATTCTCTTTTTAGCTTCAGTCTGGTATATTCAGTTGTCTGCTGATCTCCACCTAGCTGGATCCCCACCTTGACAGACACCTCAGACTTCCTGAAATCTCCTCTAAAACGTATTTCGCATCTCTTATCTGTCTTAGCCAGAGTTACTTTTCACTCAGTAACACAAGACAGGAACCCATCCTCTCCCCTACACTATATAAAACCTCCTTTTCTATCTTAACCAAGATAGATCAACACTGAGGGGGGTTTTGCCCACCTGAAATCTTACTCATCTCTTTCTGACCTCACGGACACTGCTGCAAAGTGATGTTTCAAAATGCAAATCTAGGGACTGCAGCGATGACTCAGCAGTTAAGAGCATTTACTGCTCTTGCAGAGGACCCGGGTTCATTCCTCAGGACCCACAACAGGCGGGGGCTCACCCCCGCCTGTAACTGCAGCTCCACAGGCTCCCACACCACCTTCTGACATCCACAGACGTTGCACTCATGGGCACAGACCCATGCACAGACACAAACATAGTTAAGAGTTATTTTTTAATAAATGCAGACCTAACACCAGTGAGATGATGACTCAGTGGGCAAAGGCCCTTGCTGCCAAGCCTGGTGACACCTGAGTTCAATCTCCAGGACCACACCAAGGAAAGAACTGACTCCTGCAAGTTGTTCTCTGACTGCACACACAATCAGACGTGATAAATAAGAATAAAAATGGGCTAGGCGGTGGTGGCACATGCCTTTAATCCCAGCACTCGGGAGGCAGAGCCAGGTGGATCTCTGTGAGTTCGAGGCCAGCTTGGTCTTAAAAAAAAAAATTAAATTTTGAAAAATTAAAAAAAAAAAAAAAAGAATAGAAATGGAAATCAGCTAATCAGCTTCAATGTGTTTGATTCTTTCTGAAGCTTTCAGTTGCCCATAGAATTAGGATCCAGTTCCCTGGAAGGCGGCATACAGGTCCTGCATGACAAGACTTCCCTCCTGATCATCTACCGTTGCTTCTTGCCCAGTCTACTTTCAGCCCGTACTAAAATACTTCAGGGTCCCAGATTTTTGTACCATTTGCCTCAATTTCTTGGACTACTGTCTTCTGCCTGGCATGTCCATGCCATTTCTGTGCCTCCCTAACCCTGTTTTAGGGCATCGAGAAACATGATCTTAGGGCTCAGTTCTGTCTTCTCGGCATGGACTTCCCCAGTCTCACAGATAGACTTGACTGTCTCTTTCAGCATCACTTACCTTATTCTCCACTCATCTCTAGCACTTATTATTTATTATGTTTTCTTGGAGTATCGCTTTGCAGGGGTCTGTGAGGTCTTCCTGTATTTGCGGTGGCTATACTGTTGCAGACACTCATCTGGCATGTGGTGGTGGTGGTACTGGAAATGATGAGCCTGGAGTGGGTCCTAGCAGCTTTTTTAACTAAGAGCATGCTTCCGCAACCAGGATTCCTGGGCTTGGGGACATGGGAAGGAGAATGGCAGTTCTCGTGGTCCTTGACCCTTCTAGAAACTGCTGCTCCAGATTTAGCACCAGATTCCCTTTGGTCTGTATTTGTATAACAATCTGATATCCACCCTCAGCCTTTGTTTGTTTTAATTTGCTTATATCCATAGACAAGTTAAGAAAGGACATTAAGTACCATTACATTGTCTCACAGAGGAAATAAATTGCCAACTTGTTCTCAGTGATTCTTGTTTGGGTGGCAACCCAAAAGAAAGGTCTTTTTCTAGCCAGTTAAAAAAGAAAAAAGAAAAAAAAAGGCTGGGGATTGGTGGCACACGCCTTTAATTCCAGCACTTGGGAGGCAGAAGCAGAAGCAGGCAAATCTCTGAGTTGAAGACCAGCCTGGTCTGCAGAGTGAGTTCCATCCGGGACAGCCAGGACTACAGAGAGAAACCCTGTCTCAAAAAACCAACCAACCAGACAACAACAAAACAACCCTTATTTTCTCAGTAGTTTTTAAATCTTCCTATGCCACCAAAATGTTTCCATGCATTTAATGTCAAAAACTAAGCTCAATCAGGAGCTTACTGGGAGCGATGGCTCAGCACTTAAGAGCACTGGCTGTTCTTCCAGAGGTCCAGAGTTCAATTCCCAGCACCCACATGACTGTTCACAACCATCTGTAACTGTAGTCCCATGGGATGTGATGCCCTCTTCTGCAGTGCAGATGTGGATGCAATCAAAACATCCATATACATAAATAAATATTAAAAAAAAAAAACAAAAAACTAAGCAGCTAGGTGATGTTGCACGCCTTTAATCCCAGCACTCAGGAGACAGAGGTAGGCGGATCTCTGTGAGTTTGAGGCCAGCCTGGTCTACAGAGTGAGATCCAGAGAAGGTGCAAAGCTAACAGAGAAACCCTGTCTCAAAAAAAAAAAAAAAAAAAACCTGAGCAGAAGCGGTGTTAATCTTGAAGGGATAAATAATGGTTTTTGAAGATTGTTCACAGAGTAATGAAGGTTTCTTGTCATTTTTAACATGAAAATTTCAGGTAACCAAGGGTCACACATGTTTTGAGAGGATAGTGGAATGGTCGGCATAATGACTCAGATGTGTCTGTTCCTCTCCACTACACCTGTAGAAGTTCTTGTGGTCTAACTCCTTATGTAGTTAATCCTTATCTGACTCTTAGTTTTCTCAGCTTTTTAGTGGGTGAGGAGTCTCGCTGTAAATTCTTTGCCCTTTATAGAACGTGTTATCTTCGATTTAGTTCTCTCTGTCCCTTCTCCCTTACTTAGTTTATCTTATCGTGTTGTGCTGTGTTTCTGAAGTAATAGCTTTGGCTTGTTTTTTCCTGAGTGTTGCTGCAGTTTGGTTGAGTTATCTGGCTTTGGGCATCCTTCCTGAACTTGGACTTCCTCTCCCCTTGTGACCTTTGGAAGACAGACTCAGTATTTTCTGTGGAAGATGAGTTTTGTTTTCCTTTCTCTTTACGTATGTACGTGTCCCCTCCCCCTTATCTTTTAAAGACGGGGAAGAAAGCAGTGAAGGCGGTTCTGTGGGTGTCGGCCGATGGACTCAGGGTTGTGGACGAGAAGACCAAGGTAAGGCTGCTCAGGGTTCTTCTAATCTCTGCTGATAAAGTGCCTGCCGTCAACTGTAGTGGCTCAGTGATAGCCTGCCACGGTCCAAAGTACAGTCTTCTGTGTCCAGGAAACTCATTGAGTAACTCATTTACTTTATGGAAAAAAAAAATCTTAACATTTGGTTCTACATGACCAAGCATTAATTGTTTAATGCTAAGATATGAGTTCTATTTTTGTTCTATGTTTAATTTTTTTTCAGATTCATGAGTATAGAAGGTGATGTATCTTTTACTGTATTTTTTAGATGACAGGCCACATCTTCAATTTACCCTTGTTCCTTAAGAAAACATGTTTTAGAAAGTGATAAATGAATTAGCCAACTAAGCTCAATTGAAGTGAAATTTTAAGCATTAGAGGTGAGAATTTATTTAGGATTCAAACAATATTCTAGGCATTTTGTATTTCATAGAAAGTGACCCTAAGTGCTTAAGATATGTAAGGACACTTAATCATTACTAAATTTTCTTGAGACCTAAAGTCAGGAAACATTTTTAACCAGAACTTAATTTGGAAGTGGATACAGTTGGGCAGACAAAGAACAGGTTTGATAAGCAATCTATCCCGTTTTTTTTGTTTGTTTGTTTTGTTTTTCAAGACAGGGTTTCTCTGTAGTCCTGGCTGTCCTAGAACTCTCTCTCTGGACCAGGCTGGCCTCGAACTCACAGAGATCCACCTGCCTCTGCCTCCTGAGTGCTGGGATTTAAGGTGTGAGCCACCACCCAGGAAACATTTTTAACCAGAACTTAATTTGGGAGTGGATACAGTTGGGCAGACAAAGAACAGGTTTGATAAGCAATCTATCCCGTTTTTTTTGTTTGTTTGTTTTGTTTTTCAAGACAGGGTTTCTCTGTAGTCCTGGCTGTCCTAGAACTCTCTCTCTGGACTAGGCTGGCCTCGAACTCACAGAGATCCACCTGCCTCCCAGTGCTGGCAATTAAAGGCGGGCACCACCACGCCCGGCTATGTCTGGTAATTTTTAAGTGGCTTAATACAGCTTCATTTCAGATCTTTGACCTTTTTTTAAGTTCAAAATATTAATAGCCTTAAATTTTAACACTCCCCCCCCCCAGCTGAGGACCGAACCCAGGGCCTCTCGCTTGCTAGGCAAGCGCTCTACCACTGAACTAAATCCCCAACCCCATTAACACATTCTTTAAATATCTTTTAAAACTTGTATGATTTTAATTCATGTTTTGGATGACATTTCTGTTTGAAAAGGGGTCTTGCTGTCTTTGACCTAACAGTCCCTCTGCCTCGGTCTCCCAAGTGCTGGGATTGCAGGTTCGTGCTGCCGTACCAGGCAAACTTGTCAGACCTGTGGCTCTATTGTGGAAAGTGGATACTGCCCCTTGGTAGCTACTTGTAGCACCTGCTGTTATGAATTTCCTTCTTTCCACGTTGATGATAGCAGCTGGTGGGTAGGTTGGGTTGGGTCGTGGAGACATGGTCTCTCTGTTGAGCCCTTTGCCCAGTCTGGAACTCACTGTGCACTAATCCAGTTTGGCCTTGAATTTGCATCAGTTCTCTTGCCCTAGCCTTCTAAGTGCTAGGATTGTAGTTGTGAGCCACTGTGAATACTGTAATTGGTGGACCACTGGGTCCATTTTACTGTTGTCAGAGACTAAACACACTGTTGGAATCAGTGCTTGTGACAAGGCCATGCCATGATCTGTACGAATTAATATAGGTATAGATCTCTAACTTCACCAGTTGGTGGTGGCACACACCTTTAATCCCAGCACTCGGGAGGCAGAAGCAGGCGGATCTCTGTGAGTTCGAGGCCAGCCTGGGCTACCAAGTGAGTTCCAGGACAGGCTCCAAAGCTACACAAAGAAACCCTGTCTCAAAAAACAACAACAACAACAAAAAGAAGTCTGAACTTCAGGTCCCTAACCTTTCTTTGAGCAAGAAACTAATGTTGTGGTGATGCATGAATCTCTAGCATACAAAGAAACAGAAAATATCATTCTCACAGAGAAAGCAGAGACCGATTCCCAAAATACTGTAGGTGTTAGAAGCAGCAGACAAGACTTGTAAAGCAGGTGTTAGAGCCGCACTGAGAGATGTGAAAGGAAAGGCGCTACTGTCAGTAAAACCACTTGAAAATCTCAGAAGTTAGGAAGAAAAAGAAGAAGCAAAAATCCTAGGACTAGAAAAGAAGATTGTACATCTAAAAAATATATACAGTACTTGAAGTGAAAAAAAATCTATGGGATGGAGATACAGTTACTGGTTGAAAAAAGAAAAAGTATAGAACACTATGGTGTTTTTGCTATATTTGCAAATAAACCAAGAGGATTTAACATATTGATTTATGCATGCATTTATGTATTTTGTATGCATGGCAATTACTGTGTAAGAGCTCCAAGCTAGGACCAGCCGCCACATAAGCACTTTAGAATATGGAGATGAAATAAGGGAACCATTTGAGCAAAGGGATGCTTCCTAGTCAAACGCTATTCCAGCTACTGGATACAGCTTCCAGCTACTGGATACAGCTATTCCGGAGCCCAGTTGTAACCTATGTAGGGATTCTGCTTTGTAAAATGAACCCTGTGATGCTTCTAAGAAGACCAGATAACTCTCATAAGCCTTCTCTTGTCTGTGCTTCCACTTTCCAGGACCTCATAGTTGACCAGACCATAGAGAAGGTTTCTTTCTGTGCTCCAGACAGGAACTTTGACAGAGCCTTTTCTTACATATGTCGAGACGGCACTACTCGGCGCTGGATCTGCCACTGCTTCATGGCTGTCAAGGACACGGTAAGTCCAACATGATATGTGTCCTGAGGAGTCTAGCTGAGCTGCTGGCAGCTGATGTCGGCCAAGCAGTGCCACTGTGCTTTTAGTAAGGACAAAGGGAAGCAGAGATGCCCTGGTGAGCTCATGGGCTGGTACCCTGGTTCATTCCCCAGCACCACAAAGAAAGGAAGAAAACAAAGAATGGGGGTGGAGGAGGAAAATACGTTACCGTAGCTACTAAACTTTAGTTGGAGCTTTTCATCAGTAAAGTGCTTGCAGTTTTGTTTTTTTTTTTTAAGAATAGACTTTGGGAGCTGGAGAAATGCTCAGTGGTTAAGAACATTGGCTGCTCTTCCAGAGGATCTGGTTTAATTCCCAGCACTCAGATGGCCCACAGCCATCTAAGCTTCAGACTGAGTGATCTGGTGTCCTCTTCTGGCCTCTTTGGGTACCAAGCATGGACTGTGGATTACAGGCATACATGCAGACAAAGCAACAATAAACATTTAAAAAAATTAATTAAAAAAAATAGACTTTGTGTTTGAACAGTGTTAAACGCCTCTAATCCCAGCACTTGGGAGGCAGAGGCAGGTGGATCTCTGAGTTCAAGGCCAGCCTAATCTAGAGAGCAAGTTCCAGGATGGCCAGGGTTACAGAGTGAGACCTTGTCTTAAAAGACAACAAAAATCCGAAAATGAAAGACTAGCCTTTTATGATAATAATCTTCTTCACATAACATTAAATGTATAATTTCTGGAGTGATTTTTCTTTTTTTTTAAATTTTTATTTATTTATTTTGATAGTCTTATATAGCTAGGCTTGCCTGAAACTTGCTATGTACCTGAGGATGACCTTTAATTCCTGATCCTCTCATCTCTGAGTTTTTGGTTGGTTGGTTGGTTGGTTGGTTGGGTTTTTTGTTTTGATTTTTTTTTGTTTTTGTTTTTGTTTTTGTTTTTGTTTTTCCAGACAGGGTTTCTCTGTGTAACAATCCTGGCTGTCCTGGAACTCTATAGACCAGGCTGGGCTCAAACTCACAGAGATCCGCCTGCCTCTGCCTCCTGAGTGCTGGGATTAAAGGTGTGCGCCACTGACGCCCAGCCTGGAAAGTATTGCGTCCTTAAAGACCATAACTAATAAGCATGTAGAGGAGCTGGGGGAGAACATCTTTGTCCTTGCAACGGCTATGCTTGGGTGTGTGTGGCTCTAAGACCCTGGGTCCCCACGCACCCAGTTCTGCCCCTAGAGTTAGATAAGTCTGCCAGAGGGTCCACAGTTATATAATATCTTACACACAGGAGCATTTTAAACATCACCTTCCTTTACCATAGCTAACATTAACATGTAAAATCCAGTGAACCGGCTTGTTCACAGCTGCCTACATAGTACGATTCTGAGAATACCACAAGAACTCCTCTGTTACCAGAGAACTCTTCTCACTGTGAATATCAACAGTTATTATACCAGCACCTAACTTTTTTTTCCCCAGAGCTGAGGACTGAACCCAGGGCCTTGCGCTCTACCACTGAGTTAAATCCCCAACCCCAAAACTTTTTTATTCTATAGTAGGGACGTGATTTAAAATACAGTAGCCTTGTCAAAAAGTAATCTATTGGGTTGGTAACTTGACTCTGGGTAATTGAATGTATCTATAAAATAATGATTGGTTTATATAACTCCATTCTTTTGCCACACACAAGCAAATCAGTTCCATTTCTAAGTAGAGCATAGATGAAAACATGTTTACACTTTTGCCTGTGTGTGGTCGGGAGGTACAGTGGTGAGTGAGAGAGCTAGACTATAGGGAAGGCATGAGGGAAAGCGTGAGGCTGCCAGCATGAGAAGAGGGAGGCAAAGCAAAGCGCTCCTTTACTTGAGTCCCTTTTAATGGGGAGTTGTTTTGGAGTTTGTAAACCCCCACCCCCACCCCCCATATGTTGGCACTGTAGTCAGCTCCTGAAATTCCTGCCTCTCCAGTGGTTTCTTAGGAATGTCTGCTAAATGTTCCTGCTGTTTCCCTTTACAGAGCAACTGGAGGGCTGGGGGTGGCTCAGTAGTGAGAAGAGAACCCCCAAATTCTGTCCCCAGCACCCACTGCAAGCATCTCACAATCTCCTGAAACTTCAGCTCTAGGGGAATCCAACACCTCTGGTCTCTGAGGGTACAAACTGTATTCATACACACACACACACACACACACACACACACACACACACACACACACACACACAGGCAATTAAAAATTAAAGGGAAATTGGAGGCTTGAGTACAAAGACAATTCATTTTGCACATTAACTTTAAACTGGGACTTGCGGCAGCTTTATGTGTATGCCGTGTTGGTGCTGTGACTCTCATAGAGCGTTCAAAACCTGCTCTCTGCAGGGGGAAAGACTGAGCCACGCCGTGGGCTGTGCTTTTGCAGCCTGTTTAGAGCGGAAACAGAAACGGGAGAAGGAGTGTGGAGTCACTGCTACTTTTGACGCCAGTAGAACCACCTTTACAAGAGAAGGATCGTTCCGAGTCACAACTGCCACTGAACAAGCAGAACGAGAAGAGATCATGAAACAGTTGCAAGATGCCAAGAAAGGTACAGCGTGTTCTGCTGTGGTGTGTTTATTTAATGCAGATTTTCCCAACAGGTTTATACTTGAAACTCTCAGAGACAAGTTCCTACAGACAAGAAGAACCCTTGGGATTGCAAACGTAGCCCGGCGTTAGAGTATTCCTGGTCTGGGTTCTGTTTTATCATTCCTTCTCCCCACCTACACCACACACCCAAAAAGAGGCCTCTCAGCGATGTAAGAAGGCCGACAAAGGTGCTTTCTCTCCAGTGACTTAAAAAACGTATCTCTCCATTATAGTAAGCTCCTCTGGGGAAGGTGGAGAGCAGGTGAAGAAGCAGCTGCAGAGAAATACCCTTGCTCCCCGCCTCCTGGAGCAGATTTAATTCTGATGTATCTGTTTCTGTGAGACACAAATACCGTCATAGACCCACCGTCTTGAGGACGAAGCACAAGCCCCCAGGTTTAAAGACTGGCGGTGATGCTGGCGGAGAGTTGATGCTGCTGTTGTGCCAATCCTGGGTGCTTGAGTGTCGATGTTTCTACTTTTGTATGAATGCTCGTGTGAGAGAGAGTATGCAGAAGCCCAGAGCCAGCATCAAGTCTTCTTCAGTAGTGCTACGTTGTTTGTTTGTTTTTTAAGATTTATTTATTATGTATACAGTGTTCTGCCAGAAGAGGGCACCAGATCTCATTACAGATGGTTGTGAGTCACCATGTGGTTGCTGGGAGTTGAACTCAGGACCTCTGGAGAAGCAGCCAGTGGTGTTCCTAACCCCTGAGCCATCTCTCTGGTCCCTTCCACCTTACTCATTAAGACAAGGTCTTGCCGGGCGGTGGTGGTGCACGCTTTTAATCCCAGCACTCAGGAGGCAGAGCCAGGCGGATCTTGTGCTGTGAAGGCTGGCCAGCAGGAAGAAAGCCTCCAGCACAATTCTGATGTGATTTCTGTGTCCTATGCCAAAGCATGTGTTTTTGGCTATAGGATTTTACCGTCCAGATGACCCACCGTTTTTTTTTTTTTTTTTTTTTTAACATTTGTGCATGTGTATGTAAGTGCAAGTACCTGTGGAGTTCAGAAGAGTGTCTGAATCCCCTGTGAGCTGCCATGTGGGTGCTGGGAATTGAACCTGGGCTCTCTGGAAGAGCAGCAAATACTCTTTAACTACTGTATCATCTCTCTAGTCCCCAAACCATTATTCTTTCAAAGACCTTGCACGAGAACTCCATTGGAGCCAGGTTATTTATGTTGAGTCTTTTTTTAACCTCTTTTTAAAGATTATTAACTTATCATGAGTGTAGGTATTTTGTCTGCTTGTATGTTTGCGCACCAGAAGAGGGCATCTGATCCCATGGGAATAAAGTTATTGATGATTGTGAGCCATCATGTAGGTGCCAGAAATTGAACCTGGGCCCTGTGGAAGAACAGCCAGTGCTCTTAACCACTGAGCATGTCTCCAGCCCTGTCTGTTCGGTCTTAATAGAGGATAAGACAAGCAGGTGTTGCTCGACCTTCATCTGTCGGAGTGTAGGAAGTCTGAACCATTTCCAGCCTGTCCTCTATAAGACGTGGGGAAGTGGGGGGTTAGAGAGCAAGAGGGCTTCTGTCAACTCAGAAAACGGGGAGGTCGCTGCTGAGGTCTAAGGTCTTCTTTGGTTTTCTTGAGCAGAGACAGATAAGGCAGTTGTTGGTTCATCAGTGGCCCCTGGCAACACTGCTCCATCCCCATCCTCTCCCACCTCTCCCACTTCGGATGCCACTGCCTCTCTGGAGATGAACAATCCTCATGCCATCCCACGCCGGCATGCACCAATTGAACAGCTTGCTCGCCAAGGCTCCTTCCGGGGATTTCCTGCTCTTAGCCAGAAGATGTCACCCTTTAAACGCCAACTATCCCTACGCATCAATGAGTTGCCTTCCACTATGCAGAGGAAGACTGATTTCCCAATAAAAAACGCAGGTAATATGCTCTAGCTCTGGAGTGCCATCACCTTCAGTGACGACACAAAGTTTCACTTAGTGAGAACACTAGTTAGTCCTGTCTCTCTGAAGCTGTTCGTTATATTGTGTGTCATTTCACATGAGAGTAAACTCAGGGCCCAGGCATAATTAACTTCTCTTCCCTGAGTAGTTGACAGAGCCATGATGGAATTTCGAGCTTGAGCCACAGGTCTGGTTTGTGCTGGTGTGGATGTACTCTCTCTCAGCTAGCCTGTTTCCAGACATCAGGTGCTCCGAATTCCCATTCTCACTGTGCTGCACAGGACCCAGGAAAACTAAAGAGGCTTTAGAGACATTTACAGGTTAATAGTACCACTGCAGAGGAACAGAAGAAATGAGTGAGTGTCCCTGTGCTTGTGGGAGGTTGGCTTCACGGGGAAGAAGCTCTAAATGGCTCTCTTATACAAATCTCAGGTCCATTGTGGAGCAGAGGCAGGAGGCTGCTCACAGTCATTCATCTCTGTGTGTCCTCTGTGGAGCTGAGGCAGCCTGTAAGCTCTATCCTTACCCTATGATCTCGAGCTAAAATGTTGGATCTGGACGGTGCTTTGATCAGCCCTATTATAGTTCTCTCTGACACACGTCACGCCATCTCTATAACAAACATGAGGAAGCTTTGGCTCAATAGGCACTTTTACTGACATTGTATAAAAGTACAGAGAGGTAAAACCAGGTGGTGGTGGCGGCGGCGCAGGCGCAGGCCTTTAATCCCAGCACCTGGGAGTCAGAGGCAGGCAGATCTCTGTGAGTTTGAGGCCAGCCTGGTCTACAGAGTGAGTTCCAGGAAAGGCACCAAAACTACACAGAGAAACCCTGTCTCGAAAAACAAAAACAAAAACAAAACAAAACAAAAAAAGTGCAGGTAGGTAAGATCTGTGGCCAAATAAAACTAGGCTTAAGAACAGTTGGAGGTAGGTGACCCCAGGAAATCTTCTCAGGCTCCAGCACCCTCAAAAACACACTCCAGATGCTTCACGTACCGCATTGCACTCTCCCTCTGGGGCAGGTGAGGCATAAAAGTCTTTCTCTTTTCACAGATGAACAAAGGTTCAGCACACATCATTTATTTGCTCAGTGATAAGGAAATGTTCTCAGAGTCTTGTTTTCCCCACATACAGGATCTCAAACTTGCTTGGACCCACACTCTGGGCGAAAGCAATCTTCCTGCTTGGCTTTCCAGAATTAGTATTCAGGAGAGCCTTTAGTGTACTACATTTCATTTCCCTTCTCTTTGGTACCATAGTTCATGTACTAGAAACTTTAACAAAGGAGAGTGCCGACGTGTCCTGGCTGATTCAGGAGAGAGCTTTGGCGTCACCCGGCCTTAACCTTTGTTTTTGGTAAGATTGCTTGACAGCTCTAGAACTTGATGGGTTATAGCTTCTAGGAACTGGTTGAAAGGCAAATGGATTGCAGAGATCTTCCAGAAAGATCCAGCTATTACAAACACTCTCACATTAAAACACACACACACATACACACACACACACACACAAACCCGTACCAAATTCCCAAGAGGAAATAAAGAATGTAGAGGTTTGCAGAAAAAGGCACTCTGTCTTAGTGCGTGAGTTACTGATGCTTTCTGCTTCCCCACCTGAAAGCTGAAGTGTTCATCAGTTAATTTACTGAAGCTGATTGTAAAGCCTGAGACTTGTCCTTCTGCAGGGGAAGAGACAAAGTGAGAAACGGCTCTTACCCCATCCTGCCACATCTCAGGCTCTTCCGTTTTCTAGAACCATTGTCTTTGCCTTGCAGTGCCAGAGGTAGAGGGAGAGGCGGAGAGCATCAGCTCCCTGTGCTCGCAGATCACCAGTGCCTTCAGCACACCCTCTGAGGACCCCTTTTCCTCGGCCCCAATGACCAAACCAGTGACGCTGGTGGCACCGCAGTCTCCTGTCTTACAAGGTTGGTAACCTCTGACCTCATTTGTTCTCTTTAAAACTAATCCTGTTAGCATGCTGCTTGTGAACGGAAGTTGGCATCCCGAGCTTGCCATTATCCTCATCTTCTTGCCCAGCCACCCCTTGGGCTTTGTCCCCCTGCCTGTCTCTGAATTGTCTCCTCGTTTAGCACACAGCCATCTGTCTTTCATCTCCTATAAGAGCTTCTGTAACCTCAGTCCACCCTTTATTTGCCTCTTGACTTGAGGGTCAGAGCAGCCAGCCAGCCTTACAAATCAGCAGCTCTCGGGACTAGTCGGGCTCTGTCCCTTCTAGCA